TTCAGGAACAAACAGAAGCTACTGAAGTAGCTGAAATGTGCAGAATGCCTAGAAAAAGACTGATGAGCACAAAGCGCAATAGCAGCTTGTTCCTCCCAATGCAAATAATTCAAGAGAGAGGGCAAGCCAGAAGGCCCAAGACAGAAACCTCAGTGTTTCAATCGTATCTTCGAAGTGAAATATTGTCACTTTTGCACTATGCTATTGATCATATATTATCATAAACCCCCGTACCATACGGGAAGACACCCAAGAGTATGAATACCAGAAGGTAGGAATTAGTAGGTGCTACTTTGGACGTTCGCCACCACACCTACTGTGATCATTTTCTATTCTACATTACACTCTAAGTCCTAGCTAGCAAGGAAAGGAAAGAAAAAGAAATGAAAGGTATAAGGATTGGAAAAGAAGGGGAGGTAGGGGGACTCTCAACACTTATATGATTTAATTGTATAGATCTCCTAACAAGACAAAGGTAAATTATTGGAGTAATAGTTTAACAAGGTTGATGGACACAAAAAAATTTACAAAATTGATTCAATTTCTTTCTGTGCATTATTTTGTGTAGTTTCTAAGATCATATCCTCCAGTTTATTGTCCTTTTCTTCAGCAATGTCTAATCTTCTATTAATCCTATCCAGAATACTGAGTTATTAATTTCTAGACATTTCACATCAGTCTTTTATATCTTCCATTTCTTCATCATCATGTTCATATTTTCTTTTTCATCCTTGAGCATATGCAGATTTATAAAAGCTGTTTTTAGATCTTTGATAATTCCATTTCTGTCATTCATGGGTGTGTTTCTCTTGATTTTTCTCCATTATGGGTCATAGTTTACTGCTTCTTTCCACGACAGCTTTTTATCAATTTGTTTTTGTGAGAAAATATACATAAAATTTACCATCTTAATCGTTTTTAAGTATGTAACTAAGTATATAGTTCATCTTTAAGTATACAGATATTAAGTACATTCACATTGCTGTGCAACTAACCACATCCATCTCCAGACCTTTTCCTCCTATAAAACTGAAACTCCATACCCATTAAACAAAAAATAATTCCTTATCCTCCCCTCCTCCCAGCCCTGGCAACCAGCATTCTACTTGCTCTTTGATTTTGAATACTCTAAGTACCTCATATAAGTGGAATCACAGAGTATTGTCTTTTTTGTGACTGGCTTATTTCACTCAGCATAATGTCCTCAAGGTTGATCCATGTGTCAGAAATTCCTTCCTTTTTAAGGCTGAATATTTCATTGTACGTATACACCACGTTTTGCTTATCCATTCATCTGTCAGTGGACACTTGGATTGCTTCCAAATGTTTTAGCTATTGTGAATAATGCTACTACTACAAACATGGATTTGATGTGCAAATATATCTTTGAGAACCCTTCAATTCTTTTGAATGTTACGGAAAGTACTGGAAAACCTGGACTGGATCACTGACGGAAGAACCAAGTGGCACTTGGAGGTCTCGGAGTGTTGAGGTTTATTTTACACTGACGGGCCAGAGGTGAGTTATCTCCCAAGGTCTGAGCCCTGAGCACAAGCAAGGGGAGCAATTTATATTATTTTGATACGTGGCGTTTTGGCATGCGCAGGGCAAAAGAGGATCCTGGAGGAGGGGAGGAGGGAGCTGAGAGTGCTTTGCCAACTGGAGGAAAAAAGCGGTTTGCTGACCTTGATGGCTATGTTGAATATTTTCCTTATCATGAGTATATACCCAGAAACTGAATTTCTGGGAAATATGGTAACTCTATTTTTAATTGAGGAACTGTTATACTGTTTGCAACAACACCTGTACCATTTTACATTCCTACTATCAGTGCACAAGTGTTCCCTTTTCTCCACATCCTCATTCTAATCTTTCTTGTAATCGCCATTCTAACAGGTATGAGATGACCTCGTTGTGCTTTTTGCATTTATCTGATGAGTGATGAGCACCTTTTCATGAACCTGTTGGCCATATATATACCTTCTGTTATTCCTAACTTGTCCCACTATGGTCAAAGAAGATACTTTGTATGTTATCTACCTTTAAAATCTATTGAGACTTAATTTATGGCTTAACATATATGATCCTGAAAAATGTCCCCTGTGCTGTTAAGATGTGTATGCTGTTACTGTATTCTGTCTGTTAAATCTAGTTGGCTTGTTAAGTCCTCTATTTCCTTCCTTCTGTCTTTTCTACCTATTTTTATTAGTGGGGTACTTACTGGTCTCCAACTATTACTGTTCTTAATAGTATAAATATAAGTCTGTTTTTCCCTTCAATTGTCAGTTTTTGCTTCATTTTAATGTCATTACGTGTATAATTTTATCTACTTGGTATATTGAACCTTTTACTAGTATTATGTCCTACTTCTTGTAACTTTTTGAATTCTATTGTCTGATATTAGTAGAGCCATTCCTGCTCTTCTAGTTGTTATTCACGTGGACTTTTTTCACTTTCAGTTTGATCTTTGGATCTTGTGTGTCTTTGGGTCTCAAGTGTCTCTTTTAAGTATATAGTTGAATCATGAGTTTGTATCCATTCTGCCAATATCTTTTAAGAGTTTAGTGTTTACATTTTAATCATTGATAAGGGACTTCTGTCACTTTTCTGCAGGCCTTACAGGTTTTTTCATCCTTCATTTCCTTAATTAGTCTTTTTTTTTTTGTAGTGAAATGCTTAAATTCATTTTTTAATGTATTATTTTGTTTTTTCTTTGTGGAGATAAACATCCTAAAGTTATAGCACTCTAATTTGAATTTATACTATCTTAATTTCAGTAATATACAAAAACTCTGCTCCTTTACAGCCATCCCTACCCCTTTTGGTTACTGAGGTCACAAAATTCTATCTTTATGCATTGTGTGGCCAGAACTTCAAACTAATTTCTTTTAAATTCACCTCACTTCGTTACAATGCTACTAGTTTTTAGACTAACTTTTCCTTTAAGTATTATCCGTCTCTTAAATCATGCTGAAGACTAGTTACAAAGCCAGTATTACAAAAACACTAGTTTTTATAATTGCCCATGTATTTGCCTTTATTGAGATCCTTATTTCTCCATTTGGATGAGTTGCTGTCTACTGTCCTTTGTATAACCAATAACTTACTGAATGTGAGACATGAATTTTGTATTAATCCTAGATTTTATTGTACCCTTTAAAGAGTTTTAAGCTTTGTTCTGATATGTAGATTGTTACTTGGGATTGGTTTGATCCATTAAAGAAATTTTCAAGAGTCCAAACTAATTTTTGGAGCTGGCTAATTTTACCTGCATTACTAAAGCAATATCCTTTTGAAGGTTCTACTGAATTATTCCTGGCCCTTTATTCCTTTACCCCATAGGTACAGAAGAATCATTCAAGGACTCAAGATTACTATTCTACATCATCTCTGTAAAGCTTCCTCTTATCATACTTTGTCCCACCAACTTCTAGCCACCTGTCTTCCTGAACTTTGATACCCATTTCTGCAACTTAGCAGTACTGGAAATTAATCTGTACATCCAAGGTCAAGACAAGTCAAAGGGATCCACATTTAATAAACATCATAATCAAACTGTCAGGACAAACTTAAGAGTAGCAAGTAAGCAATTTTGACAAAATGCTTATCTTGTTTGCTTTGAGTCCTCAGAAGAAAGTCAACAAAGAAAAATGCACCCAAGTCAAATAACACATGAAACACACTTCATAACACCTGGGTACATCAATTTACTATTATGAGCCACACCCATCCACATCTGGTGTTAAAAATTTGTCATTTTTCAGATAACTATCCTTCCACTTTGCAATGACATTAGCTGCATTTCCAACATCTACTTCTTCAAGTGGTAAGTGTTTCAAGGTAAAGTCCCACATGTAATTTAATATGTATTTCTTAGCCATTTAACAGTGTGAACCTGTTATGAGGTTTCATCACTGAAGTTTGAGGGTTATGACAAAATCACACTTCTAAGTCTTGTGGTTTCTATTGCACAATTTTACATATTGTGATTTTTAGGTATGTATCATGGTACATAACTATATGGCAAAGTGTGATTGTTAAATTTAGGTGGTCTATGATGTTCTTACTATTCTTTAAACATGCATGTATTTAAAATTTTTCATAATAAAAAATCGAGGTTGAAGGATAAATTGCACTTAAGAGAAAAAAGTATGTAAAACTTCTGGTCCCATCAGTCATAGCCTTTCTCACTATTAACACAGAAACAGGATATATTTCCCTTTTATTGCTTTAGAATTTTATCTTCAGTAAACCTGTTATGAGCTCTCATTTGTTACTTACATTTCCTAAAATAGAACTAGATTATTTCATAAACTGTTGTAAACCTGAGTCAAATCCTAAAAAAGATGTGGTTTATCAGAACAAATTTAACACAATAAATGATTAAGGAACATTTATCTTGGGAGATCCCTTTTAAGAATTATGTGACTGCCTTATTTGGGCATATAGGCATAGCTTAAGAATCTTGTGAATAACTGACAAAAATTCCAATACACACACTTTGGGTTATGGAAGCATTCTGACTTAAATTTAAGTTTTTAGGATATACCTCATTCAATTGTTTTACAGTATGCTTTCTAGCTACCGTAAATACACATTAAAATGGGGAGTGAACAAACTACTGAATTCCAGACAGTCTGGGAATAGGTATCTAAACATATTAAGATCTACCATTTATCAAATTAGTAACTTTAGTCAACTGTTTTTGAGCTGTCAGATAAAAAAGCGGCTTCAGACTGGTTGGCTCAAATTCTTTCTCCACAAATTTGAGAGCCATAGTTGTTTTCCTAACACTCCTTGTGAAATAACAGAGAGATTGTGAGCTGTGTGTTACCACAATATGTAGGTCCAATTTATGACCCATCTCAAAGGTCTGGTCTTTATTCAAAGGCAGTGAGAAGCTATGAAAGCTTTTATAAGGGGAGTGCCTGACAAATTTTAAAAAACACTAGCCAAACTGTGTGCAGAACTGACTGCAAGGGACTAAAGCAAGGTCAGAAATTAGAGTTCATACTATTCATGGTGAGAGGATGCTTGAATTAAGGCAGAAGCAATGCAGATGTTTAAAACAAACTACTGAAACAATACATAGTAGTTAAGAATCTTTTGTGTTAAGATTTGCTATATTATATATGCACTTTTATTTGTAGAAGAAATCCAAATTAACACAGCAGTGGTTATTCTTGTAGAAAGTAATTAGGATAATACAGTAGTGGGAGACTTTCATTCTTTATTTTGTATCTTTCTATACTGTTAAATTTTCAAAAGGCATATATATATATCACTTTGCTATTTTTATGTAAATGGGATTTATCAGGGTGATGGGCACATTGAGCCATTTTTTTCTTCTCCATATTTCTGTTTAAAATAAAGAAACTTAAATAGAAGCACCTAGGATTAAGACCCAAGGAAGTCAACAGGTAATGTGAATTTTTTTCCTTCTTACATGTTTTTCAAGATTATCAGAAATAATATAAATGTTGGGGTCAGGGGGCCACAAAAAATTAATCTGCCAGTACAATTTCAAACAAATTGCACCTGGAAAACCAGGCTCAGGAATTCACAGAGGAAACAATCTTCCAAATGCCACCACCAGCTGATATTCCACTCCAGGTGCACCATTAGTGGCCATGATGGTACCAGTAAGTCAGGGTTACCCAGATTATCGACTGTTTACCTGAGAAGAGAAAAACTTGTTGAGTTTCAAAATATGTAATGAGAGAATTTTAAGGATGGAAGATACTTAAGGCAAGTCAACTACTCAAATCACCCCTACTTTTAACAAGTGAGAAGACTGTACTTTAAAAGTATGAATTATCACCTTGATGACTAGAACTAACATAATTCCCCCACTCCCTCAAAAAAAACGTTCAAGAAATAGGCCTTTTTGAACTTGTAGGAAAATTCACAATCTATGTACACTTACCACATCATCAATTTTCAGAATGCTCCGGACAGTTTCAGTTGCCAGAGTCAGTGCACTGACTGAAACCAACAAAGGCTGGACAACCAGTTCCTCCAAAATGTTGGAAATACCACCCTGCAAAACAGCACCAACTGCTCTTAGTGTTTATAGTTATACACGTCCCAACTACACTGCTGCCAGTACGGCTCAAGGCCTTTTGAAACCCAGTTTTCCCTTGCTGTAGTCAAAAAAGATACCCTCCACTAAGCTGTTCTCTACCCTGTAAGTTGTATTTCAACTAAAACTTGGAGAAACTGAATTACTGCTGGATTCCCTTAATCCTACCTCCAAGACAACTCCTCCTGATTATCTTTAAAAATATCCTGACAAAAATTAGGGAATGATCACAATAATTAAAAATTATGAGATCTTTAATGCTTAAATTATCTGAGTTCTAAGTCTGGTCTCCTCTGCCTTTGTCTTTCTCAAATCCCACTTTAAAATTTTCATTGACACTATCCTACTCCCCCTCTCCAGGATCACTGCTTATGTTATGATGGCTGTAACAGGCAACCCTTGTCTCCACTCTTCCTCCTGAGAATACTCTTTTCTTCATCCTGGCCTCTTGTGTAAAAACTTTCAGTAGCTTGCAACTACTGGAATAATAATAATAATAATAAAAAAGCAAAATGAACCAAAAAACTAACATAGCTGCCCCAATACTCCAGGGCCTCTTCATGCTTCTATCTGAGCTTTCCAAACTAAGTCCACTGTATCACCAACACACACCCCTCTAGGTAAAATGAGTGAGTCACTTCTTGGTCCCTCTTATCTGTAAGCCACTTACTTCTCTACCTGAAATCTCATCCCCTACCAACCAAAGGTGCATCTTCATAAAGCTTTCCCTAACAAACTAGCACTCTCCTTTTCATTTCCATACCATTCAAAATATATTACACCTTGGGTTGTCAGTATTTTTCCATTATAAACTATGTCTCCTCAAATAAAAGGAGATATTAATAAAGCATTACCATAAAAGGGGGAATTATTACCATTCTGTGTTTACCCTATACAACTGTACCAAACTAACGGTCCCAAAAGCAGCAATAGTTATCACTTACATAGTGTTTATTCTATGCCAGGCATCTTTGTTAAGAGTTTTCTGGTTAGTAATACATTTAATTAATTACTATAGCAGGACTATGGGGGAAATATTTTCCCTACTTTTACAACTTTGGAAACTGAAGCACAAACTAACCTGCTAGAAGTCACATAGTCAACAGAGTGGGAGAGTTAATGAACAAATAATACATTTCACTTGAGGCATCATCTTCATTCTCACACTCAATAGCATACATTAATTAACCTCAGGTCTCATATTTAGATTCAAGTTTAAATTTCAAAACTTTTCATCCAATAGGTAACCAGGAAGAATTTAATATTTTTATATTAACCAACATATTCTGCAATAATGAAACAGTAAAATTATTACCTTTCGGACATTAATGCCTGTAGTTTTTTCTCCTTGGGCATGTCGGTTTCTTAGTTCTGTTACTGTGGAAATGGGATTCAGGCCAGCATTTTCAGCTAGTGTAGATGGAATGACTTCCATAGCATCTGCAAAAGCACGGACGCAGTAGGATTCCATACCACTCAATGTGCGTGAATATTCCGTTAGCCGTAGGGCCAGCTCTATTTCTGGAGCACCACCTCCTGCAATAAGAGCTCTGAAATTCACAAATAAACTTTTAACTATTTTATCCAAAGAAAGCTATTTTTAATAATTTACTATTTCAAAATATGTAAGTTTTAAGGTTCAAACTGTTAGCAATTTATATTACCTCTTTTTCACTAAACAGCGAATAACACATAGGGCATCATGAATGGAGCGCTCAGCTTCTTCAATCACCAATTTGTTAGATCCACGAACAACAATTGTAACTGTTTTTCCAGGGCTTGTACAGCCTGTAATCTTTAGTAAACAAACTACAAATTAGGTATTTGAGTAAGGGCTAAAAAAAAAAAAAAAAAAAACCCAGGAAAACAAAACCTTAATTATAATACTGTTACCTTGATCAGTTTACCAGAACCATTTAAATTGACCTCCTCCGCTAACTCCGCTGATCCCAGCATGTCAGCAGTGAATTGGTCAATATGAGCAACTGGCTTGGTTCCAATTGTCTGGGAAAAACATCGAATCCACGTATTAAGACAACATTTGATTATTGGACATTTTCACACATACAGATGTTTGGAATATTTTATTTTACCTTACAAACAAATTCAATGTCTTCTCTTTCAATATCCTTAACCACCATAATCTTCATTTTGTTCAGGAAATGCAATGCAAGATCGCTAAGAGCATCTCTAAAATACAAAATCAGTGAGTATTTGGTGTTAGGTTAGAAAGAAAGCATTTTGCTGTGCAACCACTTTTTAAGGTTTTCATTATTTTACTGTTGTTTAAATGACAATGACTCAAATTATTTGTGAAGATTTTAAAATGACTAGTTTACCAAGTGTATGAGCTCTAAATTCTTAAATCAGATTTCTGATAGTATTAAAATGTACTCCAATGACACTATTTGAAAAACACACAATAAAGATGACTGTGTCATTTTTAATACTCAATTAACATCTCTGATAATTAAAACTTTATTGATACTTTATCTGGAATGATCTGCCTGACAACCCTGTGATACTGGAAGGATGGATGTTATCCTTGTTTTACAGATAAGCTAACTGAATTTTGAGAGCAAATTACTCAAGGTTATTAGCTATTACAAGTCTTGGAATAAGAAGCAGATATTCCAATTCTTAACCAAGGTTTCTATATAAAATGAACACACAAAACACTTTTTGGTGTAATGTATTAATAGAGTATACGGGAATGTGTCTACCTATTGGAAGGAAACAATGGGGAAAAGAGCCATCAGTTCAAACTGTGGAGAATTCTTTGAATCTGTGGACTATCACCCAGCATTACCCACCGAAAGAACTTTTAAATTTCAAGCAATTGCACGGACCTTTAAGTAAATGCCTCTTTTCAACTAATTAACTTTAGACCAAAGATAGTTCTTAAATAACAAAGCATTCTATTTACTTGATACTTAAGATCTTGGTCTAGAAGGAAAATATATCCCATGCTTAAATTAACCTAGTGGGAAGAGAACCCACTTTAGAAGACTTATCAGAATACAATGATGCCCCAAAATGAAGACATATTCTAGCTTCCTAGAGGTTTAGCCATCTCAAATGTTTCTTTAAAAAACTGCTGGAAGGAATCCACAATCTCATTAAGAGGTGAAGAAAATAAACAGCCCCACACCTTAAAATAGACTTCTGTATGAGAAGGACATTACATCCTGTTTTCTTAATTTGCTTCACTAAATTTAGAATATAGCCTCTCTCCTCTCGCAGCACTCGGTCCATCTGGACATAGTCAGAAACTACTATTTGATTATCCATCTGTTGAGAAAAAGAACATATTAATAACTTGCAGTGTAAGTTTTTGAGTGAAAAAAAAAAGGAATTTTAATGAAAAAATTTTGCATAGTATAAATTCAACCAAAATCACACCAAATAAATTATACAGACAAGCACAGAAAGTTCTGGAAAGATAAATACACATCCTTAACTCATGTCTTTTCTAATTCCACCTATATACCTGTTTATTTATATTTTTGCAAGTATATTTCTGGTAATCAAAAAAAGTAAAAATTATGATCCTATTTCCTGAATACGTCAATTGTATTCATATAAATATACGTATTACTGAAATAATTTCAGTTGCGTGTTATAAAAACTGGTATGCTGAAAGGAGGTACACCAAGGGCATATTTTGTTCACATCTAAAGAACTTTAAAATAATTTTTGAATGGATTAAAACTTTTGGGAAACTAATGACAAAAACAGTAAAAGTATATGCCCACACAATGTAAAATGAGAGCAGATCTGAGTAAGGTGACAAGATCAACCACCCTCTTTAGCAAATGGCACTTAAGACTAAATATAGTAAAGATAAAGGAGTATCTTAGATAAAAAGCAATTTCCTTAGAATATGGATATTAAACTGGTTTAAAGTTTCATATGTGAAAATGCAGGACAAAAAGATGAGCCTGATACTGTAGGATGGGAGGAGGTTTCAGTTCTGAAAGGATATGCAAATTCCACTTACACTAGAATTTTTACATAACCTAGTATTTCATACATATCCCTATTGTTGTTTGTCTTCATCTGTGGAGTAAATCAATGGCTCAACTTCAATGACTAGCCAACTGAGGCTATAGATTTGTCCTGTCTGGCATCCAACAATTTGTACTTTTGCCTCAATTTTACTAATCCTTTTGAGATCTATGCTTATCACTCGAATCAGTTATTTTTTATAATACTGAACAAAAGTGTGAGGTATTAAAAAGTTAAATACATAAACAAGGAACCAGTTTCATTTAGTTCTACTTACATCTGTTTTGGGAGCTGATAAACAAAACTGAATAAGCCCGATTTTAGCCTTTTCAACTCTCGTTATGCCAGAATTGGCCACCTTTTGAGTGAGTACCAGGCCTTCCACCAATTCACAGTCATCAATTGTTCCACTAAGAAAAGGGAAAACAAGGACAGGAGAATTAACGGGGTAGAAATCTTTAAGTTTAAAAGACTGCTAATATATTAAAATCTGTCCAAAAATATGTGCTTCAGCCTCAAACACATTTGTTAGTACACCATTCCAAAACCTTTTTGATCGCACTACTGCCCGTAAGGGAATATAAATACATTTTTTAGATTCCCACATTAATATAAGTTCTCATGAAATCAAAACCAAAAAGAAAGCATTGTGACTTTCATATAGGTGTTTTTCACTTAAGCTATTTATTTTTGCAACAGCTTATGTTTAACTTTCAAAGTTAATTTTTATTAATGGAAGTCATAATTAGAAATGCTTACCCAAGTTTCTTAACTATTTTAATATCTCTAAGATCTACACTAGTAGCTGTGGCTGGGTCAATCACTTTCATCACTGCATTTACACTCATTGGAGAAAGCAGACTTGAATATTGAGAGACAACCTAGTATCAAAAAAGAAAAGTCAGATTCACAACAGAAAAAGTCCTAATTCTTTAATAACAAAGATATTCAAGGAATCCTAGTCATTTGGGGAGTGGCGGGCAAGAGTGGGAACATATAAGTAACATCCAATCCAAATGGGTCTTTTCTGCTCAGGGTGTCAGTCACCTCCCAAAGGCACAAAATAAAAATATATACTTGCTGTAGATGGGACTGTCCAGATTACTAATAATTCTATAGGAACTCCAAAATAATACAAATACTTTTTATTTAGAGGCTTCCAATCTAAAATGAATTTGTCATCAGATGCTATAAATGTGCAGTCCAAATACAGAGGGCGATGATAGTGGTACTTTACATTTGTATACTTATTCAATCTTTAGATGAAAAAACTCAAACTTACACTGCTTAGTGTGGGCCAGTCTAGTCACTGACCAATGCTTCTAACAATTATACTATTGTCTATATTAGATCTGGGAACATTACACAGTATAACTTATTATCACTAATACCAACTAGTGCTCCACTTAAACAGGTGACGTGAGTTCTCAAGAAATTTCAAAGAATACTACTTTAAATTTGGTTAACTAAGTAACATAGATATTAGTGAAGAGAGGGACCCTGGGTAAAGAGAACTGTCCTGGATCCATATTTCAGTTCTTATTAGTGGGTCTTAGATGAGTTATTTAACTTCACTATACCTGTTTTCCCATTAGTAAAATGGCAATATAGCTTATCTGAAAATCTTTCAAGTGAGTGAATTTTACTTCAACTAATTCAGTTAAACTGTTACTAGACACTCTTGAGACCTAACATTTATGAACTGTACAGCATCAGAAATCACAGAAGAGTTGTAGTTCTTAATTAAACTTAAAACTAATTTTACAATGATACCTTAATGACTGTCTCACCTTTGAGTTCAATGAAGTGGTTGCACTATTTAACAAAGTTTCTCTGTCACTCAGATCTACAGGTCGAGACATATCAGTTAAGATTTCAATACCCTTTTCCAAAGCCTTCTGGAATGACTCAGAAATGATGGTTGGATGAATTCCTGTCATTTGTGAAAATCTAAGTTATTTGACTATAACAGATAAAGTACATACTTGATATGACTTAAAATTTTTCTATTCACTAAAATTTCAAACAAGTCATATAGTTAAAATTATTAACTATGAATTTGCTTATGCTTCATAGTTTTAAACAATGGCTTGAATAATTTTAACTTTTAACTATGGCTAATAATTTATTTCTACTTGATTTGGAACAGATTACATACTCCTGTGATATTTAAGACAAACGATTTCATACTTTTCAAAATACCACAAATTTACAAAGTAAAATAAATGACTAGAGAGTTACTACCATGAATTAAGCCCTATTTATCAGAGTAAGAACCAATACTTCCTCTACCTAATCACCAATCATCATTCTCATCTAGTGCCTAAGATCAGTTAAGGCCACTGCCACTTATTTTTGAAAACACAAATTCTATCAATCAAGTTCCATTCAAAAAGAAAAGTTTGGCAGAAAAAAGCAGCAGCAGCAAAAAGAAAAACTTATCTAATTCCCATAATAAACATATCAATACTTAATCTACAAATTCCTATAAAAAAGTTTCTCCAAATTAAATTTCATATTAATAACTTTTTGCCTTTATTCTGTAATAAAGCATGTCCTATGTCCTACATACCTTTCTGAAGAAGCTTGGTACAGTAATCTAAGAGAGAGCCAGCAATGATGACTACTGATGTAGTACCATCTCCTGCTTCAATATCTTGCGCTTTAGACAGCTCCACCAGCTAAGTGAACAGAATATGCTCAGTTGCTCAATCAGAAATGTGAGAAGCCACTAATATCAAATACAAATTTAAGATGACTGGCCATCAGTATCACAAACTACTTGATTTTTAACACTTTAATATTCAATATATTCTTGACTTTTCATTTCTTGTCCACCTTGGATTTCACCTTAAAATGACGACTGATATATATGTGGCACACAAAATTCTACTTATATACTCTTTAAGAAGCTATACTATGATCTCCAATTCAGACTGTGGGTTATACATTTTTTTCTTCCCAGCTAAGTTAAAAGTTCCTGTCAGAAAGATTAAATCATATCGTATTATAGGTTTTGGAAGCTATGAAATGGGGCATTGCAGATAAGAGTGCCAGTTTGGAATCTTTCACCAAATTTATCTGAACTGATCCTGTATGAGCATAATCTGATTCATTTTAAGTCATCTTTCTATAATTAAACGGAATTTGACAGGAATTTCTTTTTGCTGATGGCAACTTCTCACTTGACACTAAAACCATCATCACAATCCTTAAATAGGTAATTATTTTTAATAAATGTCAGAGTAAGTTCAGATTTATTTTGTACACAATTAAAATTATTTTGCTCTCTTCCAGTGAACATCCATTGGACTAATAATTTACACCATTTCATGTTTTTATTTCCTTCTTCAACTGTATGGCACATTCCTGTGAACAAGAACAAGGCGATTCATGTTTTATTCTGACTTTACACTGAAGAGTATCATGAAAGGCACACAACGTAGCCTAAAAATATGCCTGTTTGGTATAAAGAGAAAAAAATTCCACAATGCTTAACTGATAATCTGTGGTTGACTAAGACAAATTTAACTATTTACCAAGTATCAAACAATATACTTAAAAAAAATCACGCTTACCATTCTGGCTGCTGGATGTAACACTTGCATTTGTTTCAAAATGGTGGCACCATCATTTGTAATGGTCACATCACCTTTTCCATCTTGAATCTGTCAATTTGGTTTTTAAAAAATGCTGTATTTCAAACATTTGTTTTCTTAACCCAGCATTGATATGACACCCTAAAAGATCTGATCTAAACACTCTGTAGAAGTTACTTTGTTTGCATAGCTTACAACTGTGCTTTATTTCAAATTCTCTCCCCTTACATTGGTATAAAGATTAAAGATTTATAAACATGCAGTCATGATCCAACTTTACAAGTGAAATAGCTGGCTTTGTTCCAGCTATTTTTTGTTTAAAAGTGAAAGAATCTAGACAAAGAACCAAAAAAAGAGTAGAAAAGATACTCTAGAGAAGCACTGTCTGAAAGTATAAATTGGTTATAAAAACTCTTTCTATGAGGTCACTGTGAGTATATTTGAGATCCCCTGAATTAAAGTTCCTAAAACAGGTTAGGTTCTCAATTAACATTTGTTGTAATTAAATTGACTGAAAGCAATGTTGTGAGTGGCAGTAATTTCCCAAGCACTAAGGGTGATACAAAATGGGAGAAACTTGGTTTTTATAGGTAAAAGGCATTCACAAGTTATACTGTGAATATAGCTTGGGTGTGACTGTATCAGAGACTCAGTATAAAAGTCAGACTTAAAGTGATCTAAGTAGATGACCGACCAGAGGACCAAGATCAAGGGGCAAAGGAGAGAAATAGTTGAGAGGTAGAAAAGGAGCCGCAGACCAAAGGAACAGTTTTGGAGCAGGCAGTGGTATGTGTCAAATGTCACTGAGGGGTACAGAAGGAAAAATACTGAGAAATGGTCACTGAAAATAGCAAGCAATTTACCAGGATAAATTTCAGCAGACTGAAATTTTTTACAAACCTTCTTCCAAAAAACAACCAATATGAGCTAGGAGCCCACACTAACCAGAGATGGTTTCCTTCAAGAGCTCATTTTTAATGCTTTTGTGTCCCCTTAGTAACAGCTGGGGGAGGGTCAAGTCTTGTTAGAACAAGATGATAATTTAAAGGAGCCCTCCAGATGACCCAGGTGCTCTAGGCTGCCTCAGCTATTCTGGACTCAGGTTCAAACAAAACACCTCACTATCATTACTGGGTTCGTATCAACAGTAGGAAACACCATGAATCCCCTCAAAAGACAACACCATTAGCACGGTGAACACAATTCTTAGAGTCAACAGAGTAACTCATTTCTTACTATCCTCCACACAGGGCAATAGCATTACTAGTAGCAACAGAAATGAAAACATCCAGAGGGAGTGATGATTTTTATATCATCCAGACAATTATCCATACTGTTTCCTTATCTCTAATTAGGTATGTTAACTGGCACTGAATTTGATGGTGTATTATTAAGTTACTGGAATGCACTTGTTTTTTTTTTTTTTTTGAGAGGGCATCTCTCATATTTATTGATCAAATGGTTGTTAACAACAATAAAATTCTGTATAGGGGACTCAATGCACAATCATTAATCAACCCCAAGCCTAATTCTCAACAGTCTCCGATCTTCTGAAGCATAACGAACAAGTTCTTACATAGTGAGTAAGTTCTTACATGGTGAACAGTGGAATGCAGCTGTTTTATGCTGCTGGTCAACCTAGTTAGTAGAGCTGAATTCCCAAAAACCTACGTCAAATGTCATAGTTATATCAGTAAGGTACACCGAACTCAAGTCCTTATACCTGCAGATTTACTGTACTTTCCATCTAACTACACAACAGATTACTTCTTTGTATGTACTTTGTTTAAAAAGCATTAAATAAAATGTGAATCTGGTTTGTTCAAAAGTAATCTATCACTCTTCTTAATCCTCAAAGTACTCTTCTAACACTTTTTACTATTTAAACAGCCTATCTTAACCCTCTATCAAGATCTTATAGAGTGGACTAGTACTCAAGATGTAATGAATGATAGCTTTTTACCATTTTATCCATTCCTTTTGGTCCAAGGCTTGTTCTGATAGCATCAGCAACAGCTGTAAAGAGAAGAAAAAAAAGAAATCAGCTTTCAAAGATCAAAACTATTTCTTCTCTCAAATGATCATTTTGTCCTATGTCCACTGAAGAAATTCATTGTCTAATAATAATCTACTGGAAACAGAATAATTTACTCCTGTAATTCTATGATGCTTCATCTTTTATTATAAAAGTCACTATACATAGTACTTACATGATCTATGGCAGAATAAATTTTAAGGACTTACTGAATCTTCCTAATACACTTATTTGTTTACTCTGTCTCCACTATATAGTGTAGTATCTGAACGGAAAGACTTTTCTTTTTCACTAATGTGAAGCTGGTGTAGATAGCCCACTGGAAAAAAGCACCCGTAACCACCCCACCTTTAAAATCAAAACAACTAAAAAAAACCAAAAACAAAATCACAGCTTTCAATTATCAGTGTTAGGAAACATCTCTGGATATGCAGACTAGCATTTAAAAGAGACTTACTACCTGTCCATGAGAATGTTGTTATCTTCTTAGTCCACATAATATTTTTTAAGAGAAATTGGAATTGAACAGTACTCCATCCTCTTTTCGTTGAGAAGTTTATAACAAATGATTAGATATTCCCCTTTCTCACATCCCAGAGATGTATACACAGGGCTGAGACTGCATCCTAACCATTTTATGTTCCCCAAATAGGGTAGTGCTTCCCCACACACTGTGTGAACATTACGTAAAGAGCCTGAAAGTAAGTATTTGCTGTAACTCAAAAATTATTTTTTACTTAAACGTTTCATAATTTTGGGCTCTTGTTCCTAATTACCCAGTCAATATTACCCTTTCAGATTTCAGTGGATCCACAGCCATGATTCTCCAAGCAGACCAACTGCCTTGAGAATGCTGTTACATTTATCTAGGTGAAGACTCTAGAAAGGTACACACCATCTAAAAAAAAATAAAAATAATAGTAGCTGCGCCTCCATTCTATGAGCTCTCACTTAAAAGGGTCAGGTTCACAGAAAATTTAGGTGGCCAATCCTTCCCACATGCTACCTTCCTTAACTACTTTGAATTCTCTGTTCACTGCTGTTTCAAAGGTTACTAAAGTAAACCTCCCATTCTGTATCATCCTTGTTTGTCGAAAATCTACCATATTATGTAGCTCTTTCGGCCCTCCAAATGGTCCCAGTTCCACCATTCGCCAAACTGTTCTACAAAAAAACAACCAGGAAACCGTCCTTGTTTCTTGGGATGCTTGTGTTTGGGTGCACATGCAGAGAGAATATAAAAGCACAAAATAGGTTCTCGTAATTACTCGCAATTAAGACGGATTGTCTATTCTCCACAGCCCAATGCAAAGGGCCCCGCCCCAATTTAGACACTAAAATTTCACCTGATTCATTTCATTAGTTGTGCCGAAGATTAAATGGTATTTCTTCAAAAACAAGTACACGGAGAAATACTGTGCAAACAACATTCTATCAGCGGAACCCATAAAGAGGTTAAGCAACAGCCCTCAAGTGTCAGCTCTCAAAGGACCGCTATATATGGGGTAGTGATAATATAACCCACAATGAAAAAGGACCGGCGTCTGAGACTCAGAATGGGGCAAGTCCAAAGGCCTGCATACTCGGGAGTCGGGACTTACTGGCAGAAAACAGTAAGGGTCCCTCTACCGAGCTGCTTCTGCGGGAACGACAAGAAGGGATCATGTGAAGGAACAGGCAATGAGCCAACTCCATACAAGACCAGCTTAAGAGCAAAGCTCGACCCAGCAAGGCCGTGGACCAGGCCCGGAAGCGATACCTTTGGCAGCGGAGACGTTGCTGAAACGGATCTGGGCTGGCTTATCGCGGTCCTGATAGGCGCTTTTCCCGCGGTCGCCGGCAGCCGCGGCGGGCGCCCCGCTACGGGGTGCCACGTTCTCTGGCATGGTAAGCTCGCTGGGTCCGCACGAGGTCAGGGAGGACGGATGGATGCGGATTCGGGCTCGCCGCGGACTAACGGTACACGACCACCGCCTTCCCGAACGTTCCAAAAAGCGGCGCAGGCGCCAGGAAGACGGAAAGGCGGAGAAAGGGGCCTGCCTGGCGGCGCGGCTCCGTCATGACGTAGATGGCTGCCCGCCACGCGCCGGGTCAAGTGGCTGCGCCCGTGAACTCGGAACTTGCGGAATATTGGGTGCTTGGGGTTGGGTGTGCCGTGGGGCGGACTCTTGAGAGGCAGAAAGGGCCACCCGCGATTTTAGAGGCGAGTGTTGGGACACCCACAACTCGACCCCACCCTCTGTCGTGAGGTCCCTTGCGTTAACTCAAATCCGACGCGTCTGCTAGGTGTTGTGGTGCTTCCGGATCACCTCCGAACTGGTGGCGCCGAGCCGGTGTTTCCCATGCTGCGTAGACCTGAATTTTACTCAATTCTATTCATTTTGCTAGAGTGCCGGAAGAAAGATTCGGGACAGGTGTCTGCCATACTTTGTTTAAAAGTTTGATACCGAGTGGCAGAGATTTAAATACACCCACATTAAATACCAAAGAATCTTAAGTTTTGAGTCTATGAATGCCTGTCAAATCAGGACTGCCTGTCTGCTTAGGACAGCGCTCTCGTTTTATGATAGTTTCTTGTACTTAACCTCTGGTTCTTGGGGAGCCTGAGCATTTTAATAACTATCATGTAGCTCAGTGTATGCTAGGCCCCGCTAAACTTTTTACACGGGTTCTCATTTAATTAAACCTCAGAAGAGTCCTATGAATTAGGTGCCATTAACATTTTCTTTAGTAGTTAAGGAGACTGAGGCACAAAGAACTGAAACCCAAGGTAAACCTTAAATAGATGGAAACAATATTCCAATTCAGAGCAACGACCTAAAGAGGTCCATTAGCTCACCTGTTGGACATTTTAATATGTAAGTCTATGCAGATTCAGTTCATTCATTATTTGTGCACAGATAATTATTAAGTGCTCATAAAGTGATGGATGCTTGGGATAAGCTCAAGGACAGTTTTTCAAAACACTTAATCCTGTGATTATTATGAGCTTTTACAGGCATTCAGGATATCAGTACTACAACATGAAGCTTCCTAGGTGCTCTGTGATCCTTTAGCCTCTGGTGCTGATTTCTCTTCAAAGGACCAGTTTTCTTCTGTTAACCTTAAAAATAAAACAGTTAATTTATTATTTAAAAAAAGGATTTATCTAGGAATAGCACAGAATTGCAGTTCAGGACACACTAGCTATAGCAAACCCATAGGCATGTCTGGAGAATAAGGTGAGGAATGCCCTTGTAAAAAGGAAAAGAGCCAAGTTGGGATGTTTTAAGCAAAAAGTCCATTGGAGTAAACTGAAGTCCCCTGTGTTGTGGCTTCCCACTGACTGAATGGTGACAGTCTCTCATTGGCTAAGCTGTTGCTTGAATGTTGCTGTTACCCAGAGGAATGAGCTGTTCCTCCTTCTGGGTAACAAAATAGCTAAAACAATAGGGACTTGCAAGACTGCATCTTCTGTGGAGGTCTGAGATTTATTAGGACTGGTGGACATGACAGTTTTCCCTTCTGGCCTGCCAACAGTCATGTCAATGAAATTTCCCTTTATTAATTTTCACACTTCTGTGTAGCCCACAAACATCCTATGATTATTTAAGACAACTGATGTAGTATGGAAATAAGTGTGTGATGATGGAAATGTTAGGTAGTGCCTGGAGCTACAGGTAGGAAGAGACATGAGCAGCCTGGGAAGCGGAAGATAAGGTTCAAGGAAAAATGACCTGGTTAGGAGGGTCCTACTTGAAGACAACAAAGGCTTTTCAGGGAGATAACTTCATAACTTCCTTGCTTATTAGGATCAGGCCAAACTGGTCCCAACCTCAGGTGCAATCAAGTAAAACTAAGGACTGCCCAAATCACACCTCATTATAATCTTATTAAAATAAAATTGCGGTTTTGCTCTTCTGCTGTGGACTTTCCTGTTTGTATTTCGGGAAAAGATGGGCACCAAGAGAAAGGGATGTGTAACTAGAACTGTCAATCAAATGACCTCATCCTGTCAATCAAAGAGGAGCCTCTGGGCTGGAACATGATAAATATACCCTCCCTTCAATAATCTAGTCCTTTTTCTACCTTAACTCTGGCGGAATGTATTCAAACAAAACTTCTACTCTGACTCGCTACATGTCTCTGCCTTTCAGTTCTTTTGTTTCTGCAGGGAAAAGAACAGAGGAGAACAAACTCACATGTAGAAGAAATATTATTAACTTGAGGATCCAAAAATCCTGGTTTTGAGTTCTACCGCTGCTGCTATGTGGGCAAATCATTTAAATTCTCTCGGTCTCACTTTCTCATCTGTAAAGTAAGAGGTTTGAATTAGACAATCTACAAGGTTTATTACTAAACTCTTCTAGTTTTATCAATGTAAGGGGTCGACCTGTCAGCCATAAAGGACAGAGGAGAATTTGAAAGATTCCATTATTGGCTTTTTGCAACAGTCTCCATTGATGTGACAATTGCTTTAACTACCTGAAATGTTTCAAGTTTTAATATATTCTTTCTTTTTCTGTGACAAATGAAATTGTAATTATTTTTCTTCCTGAGACTAAGCAATAAGTAAATATTAACAATTTGTTTGCTTCAAAGTGTTGATGTACATTAGTTCTACATTAGAGTAGGGTTCCAAGAAGTATTAAACTTTTGTAAGGTACTTAACATATGCAAAGGACTGTTGTTAGTGAAGGATGGAAATACTGAAAAAAAATCCTGTCAGGAAATAAACATGAGCAATTTCTTCATGAACATATCTCCCCAGGCAAGGGAAACAAAAGCAAAAATGAATAAGTGGGGCTACATCAAGCTGAAAAGCTTCTGTATAGCAAAGGACACCATCAACAGAACAAAAAGACATACTACAGTATGGAAGAATATATTCATAAATGACATATCCGATAAAGGGTTGACATCCAAAATATATAAAGAGCTCACGCACCTCAACAAACAAAAAACAAATAATCCAATTTAAAAAATGGGAAGAGGATCTGAACAGACACTTCTCCAAAGAAGAAATTCAGGTGGCCAACAGGCACATGAAAAGATGCTCTTCATCACTAATCATCAGAGAAATGCAAATTAAAACCACAATGAGATATCACCTCACACTGGTGAGGATGGCCACCATCGAAAAAACAGACAACAACAAATGTTGGTGAGGATGCGGAGAAAGGGGAACCCTCCTACACTGCTGGTGGGAATGTAAATTAGTTCAACCATTGTGGGAAGCAGTATGGAGGTTCCTCAAAAAACTAAAAATAGAAATACCATTTGACCCAGGAATTCCACTCCTACAAATTTACCCTAAGAATGCAGCAGCCCAGTTTGAAAAAGACATATGCACCCCTATGTTTATTGAGCACTGTTTACAATAGCCAAGAAATGGAAGCTACCTAAGTGTCCATCAGTAGATGAGTGGATAAAGAAGATGTACATATTCACAATGGAATATTATTCAGCCATAAGAAGAAAACAAATCCTGCCATTTGCAACAACATGGATGGAGCTAGAGGGTATTATGCTCAGTGAAATAAGCCAGGCAGTGAAAGACAAGTATCAAATGATTTCACTCATCTGTGGAGTATAAGAACAAAGAAAAAAAAACTGAAGGAGCAAAACAGCAGCAGACTCGCAGAAACCAAGAATGGACTAACAGTTACCAAAGGGAAAGGAACCGGGGAGGATGGGTGGGAAGGGAGGGATAAAGGGAAAAAAGGGACATTATGATTAGCACACACAATGTAGGGGAGAGCATGGGGAAGGCAGTACAACACAGAGAAGACAAGTAGTGATAGCATCTTACTACACTGATGGACAGTGACTGTAATGGATTATGTGGGGGGGACTTGATGATGGGGGAGTCTAGTAACCATAATGTTGCTCATGTAATTGTAGATTAATGATACCAAAAAAAAAAACTAAACTAAACTGAATGATATAAAAAAAATCCTGTCAGATCCCAGCAGAATCAAGGCATATGAGGGAATATTCGCACTAACAATAGCTTCATAGAATTTCTTTAATGACTTGTAAAATAGGTTTTATGAAACAATGACATTTGGCCAACCATCTGGGTGAGAGTGCTCTTCTCTAAGATATAGGCTTAACTGAGTGCTAAACCCATAATAACAGGACTAAGCCAGGCACTAGCTGAAGTTAGAAAAGGAGAGAAAGATGTGTGTTATCTTCTCTTAGGTTTTTACACAACTTCAAAGACAACTTTTTGTTATTAATTTTTATTATTGTTACCAGAGGTAGGAAACATCTAGTATGTTCAATTAGTCCTTCCTAGCACATTTGTTTAAAGCCCTTCTTAGTTCATTCTTAAGTTGTCTTTTTAGTTTTTCTTAAGTTTTTTTTTGTTCCAGGAAGCAGAGCACATAAGACAACATCTAAAGCACATCAAGCCAGTCAGGGCTGATCTTCACCACCCAGAGTACACTTCTGCCTGAACCAAAGTGAACTCTCCTCATTATCATTATAATATATATCATTATCATTATATAACATTATATTTATAATATAACTATATTAATCATTATATCATTATCATAATATAACAACACCCAGGGAGGAGCAACTGGCTAATTAACATAAGGTGATCTTTGAAGAAGCATGGACAGCGATTGTGCCACTGCCAGTTATTCCCTGCCTCTACTTACGATGACAATCCCTTCCTGAGAACCTTATGTGGCAAAACCCCAATAAAAAACAGATTTTAACTCCCTCTTGGGAGACAGTGCTTTGGGAACTATCCCTGGTGTTCTTACTTGTGTCAATTATTAATGGCTTGTTCTTGTTGGACCTCCCTTGGTTAAAAGCTCCCTGAGAGGCAAACCCATTGTGTTCAATTTATTATCTATTTTCCTTCTCTTTTGAATTAGTTTATATTATTTGCATCATTTGTTTTTTTTAAGGTTAGCTTGCAATATTAGCATGAAGCAGATGCCTGTTTTCCTTAAATATATTTTGATTTTCCTAACTTTCCTTGAAAGGTTTCTAGTCACATTTTTATCCCTTTCTAACCCTCCCAATTAAAAT